TATATCCTCATTTCATGATTTTATTGGCATATTAAAGGCTCAGATGAACCTTAGTAACTCTCCAGGTTTGCCATCTTTGTCTGCCATTATTTTAAAGTACATTCCCTTTATGAATCTGATCCAGATTGAATACAATGAAATTTTTTAAAAGCTAAGCAGACTGTTGAGAACTGGGAAACGTGTGTGAGCTCAAAAATTCTTTCCTGGCAGTTGTTCCACATGCCAGTTAAAGGGATATTTCAGCCTTTTTGCAGCTTCAGGTCAGGACCAGACCTGCCAGTCACTGACAAATAAGGGAACTCCCTACACTGGAATTTTCCTTTATTTAAGGTGACTTCTCCAGCCAGAGTAATTCTGTTATTCTTTATTCTTTGCAAAATTACAGAATATTTTGGCTTTATTTTGGAAAAAAATACCCACACAAATTAAAAATGCCACAACTGTTTCCCCTGCTATTGAGGAAGGGCATAATTCATTCTAACAAAACAATTCTTTGTATGTCAGTATCCATGTTTATCAGACTACAGAGGTTCCTTTTGTTCCAAAGTAGTCCACATTTGTGTTTTATTATTCAAGAGAGTATTTTTAAATTTTTTTTTAGGCAAACATGGAGCTAAGTTTTATAGATATGTTTAAATACAGTCTACAGAGCAGCACATCCTCTAGAAGAAGGCAGGACAATACTGTAGTTACAGGGAAAAAATCCTGGAGTGAATTGCATCCTCTTGACACTTGTTTTACCATGGACAGCAGCAGAAGGATGTTACTGTCTATAGAAGGTACTGGCAGAAGAGCAGTACGTGGCCAGTATGGGGAATGGGTACACTGGGGGCTGCTTGGCCATTTAGCAGATCACCAGACCAATAATGCTGCAGTTCCCTATGGTCAGTGCCCCCTGTCTGGGTACTGGTGCTTGAGAGATGGAAACAATAGGCTTAATAGAAATTAGCAATTTTTGTGTAATTATACTAATTAGAGCTTATACTGATATTCCACCTGATCAAGCAAAGAGTGCTGAGCCTCTCTAAAAAAGCCCATAAAACTCCCCACACCAGCTACTTTTTACTGAGTGAGGTTCAGTTGACCAAGTCCTGGAAAGACCTGGATGTTGCATCCGAACTGTTTCTGTGACCCTGTGGAAATGGGAAAAGGGTAGACTTAAGTACTGCTTATTGTCACATAGTTTTTCCCCTAGATTCATTCAGAAGACATAGCAGAGCTTAGACAGACTTCTGTAGCAAAAGTGTCTTGGTCCTCTGGTCTGGCCTGCAACACTCTGGTCTGCTTCTTCAGGATCACAGAGGGACTACACATGCTTTTCTTCCTTTAGAGTAGCAGTTAAACCATGGGCTCTGCCACAGCTGCTGGACTGCTTATTGGCTTCTTTCTAGTGTTCATAAGAGTGCTAAAGATTTCACTGAAGAAACCACTTTTTAACCTGGTCAGAGACCCATTTTCAGCTAAAATTGAGATTTGCTACTAATGCTATCTTAATCAGGGCAGTGATCCCTCAGCAGGAAAGGTATAACAAGTATTACCACTTCTGCCTCTGTCTGCATTTGCAAGTTCTGAGCAGCAACAGCAGTTCAAACAGGTGAATATTAAGTAATCAAACTACCTCTGCAGGACATCCTCAAAGCTCCCTACTTCACTGATGTCTTCAAATGTAAACCTGACAATTCTTCCAGTACAACACTGATCATTTTTCTCATCTTTCAATTAGCTTCTGTTCCCTTTTTCCTGTGTGTTGCAGTAGTGCTGTTGGGGACTTTTGAAAATTTTCTGTTCTTTGTTCTGCTACACTTTAAATTTGTTTTCCAGTCTCTCGTCACAGATCCTGCCCTGTAATCCCTCATATTGGCTCACTCATCCTCACTGGCTTGTTCACTGATTTCTATTTCTCTTGCACATCCTCACCTACCTGCTGGAAATCCATAGCCAGGCTTCACAATGCATCTGTGCTCTTCTGCCTTGGACCATGCATCTTCCTGTCTAAACCACCTGCCTCTCCACTTTACAACCTTGAATGGCTTTTTCTCATCTCCTCATATGATCTCCATGTTCCACTTTTTTCCTCTCTAGGACCATGCTATTTATTCCAAGAGATAATTGAAAAAATGTTACTGACTCCCACTTCTTTTTATTTGTTTTTCCTTTCTTACCATACAGCTGCTTTTTCTGCCTCTTTCAGTGCCATAACTGCACCCACATTAGTCCCACTAACCTCTTATCCGAGCGGCCTTGCACTCATCCTGTCTTTTATTCTTTTCCGTAGCTAATCTGGCTCTTGATTTTAAAATATACTTTAATCCTTCTGATTTTAAAAAGCTTTCCCCTTCTCTATTCTGTTACTTTCTATCTCATCTCACTGAATTAAACTCCCCTTGGTTGCTCTGTGAGGTTTACTGCTTTGGGCATAGGGACTCATGTTGTATCTTCACCTGGGGTTAATATCTGACTATATTAGTTTCTTGGTTGTCATTTGATGCTTTGACTTGAAGTTGTGGCAGAGCTCATCTTTTTATCTTGGGTTTGCAAAGAACTGAGCATGACTGTGTTCCCTTCCTCAGTTGGAGCTGTGCATTTAAGAGCAGAATGATGAATTCAGTATGGTAACACTGCCATCCAGTGGCTGTCTTCTATCATGACATTTTTATAGCTTTATATTTTTAAATGTTTATATTTTAAGGTATATTTTTCAGATATTTTGATATATTTTTAATATATTTCTATATTTGACTTTAAAACTTGAAGTTTTGTTTGTTTCATCTGGTTCTGCTGAAGTGGAATGTATTGTTGTAAGTACACTATTTGAGAGTAATGGAAATTAGAGAAATCTTTATGATATATTCTGTTCAAATACAAGATGCATGCCTTTTTCTTTGTATTTTGCTTTACAAAGTGAAATATCGAGGTTGATAACTCAAGTACGGAAGAATCACGAGATCCTATGTTAAACTGTTATGTACAATTAAATTCACCTGCATTACCTAAATTACGTGAATGTTTTGTAATATACTTCACTCATACTTAAGAAACATGCAATACTTAAAATTAAGCATGTATATAAATACAAAAGGGAAATAGGATAATTTGGGAGTAATCTAAAATTTGTGTATTACTTCCCCTGACAACTCTTACAGCCTCCACCACATTTAGGAATGTCCTGAACTGCAGTGGTTTCTCTATTTTAACAATTTTCAGTGGCTTTCCCTTCCATGAGCATGTACACTTTCTCCTTGAACCCATATATACAGAGTTTGTGGTATTTTTTATTTTTCCTCACCATTTTATCTTTTTTAACTTTCTCCTTTTTCATTCCTTGCTTCTATTTTACTTCATTTCTGTGACATTATAGTTTGGCTTATGAATAATACCCCATGGTTAAAACAACTTGCCTTTTACATTTGCTGATGTACTCCCACACTAAACAATGACATGAATATCTACCTTAGTACAACAACTTCTCTGTGACAGGAGATTCTGAAAATCTATCTAGATGTAAGGTCCGATATATTTTATATGCAGATGTGTTTTATGAAAATTTTGGAAGGAACAATAGATACAAATATCAAAAGGAAAAAGTGTGCTTAGTATTTCAGTAATTCAGTTGTTTATCCAGTTTACTGCAGTGTGCTGAAATATTACCCAGAAGTCTAGGAAATGCAGAAGTGAATTACGAGTTCAAGGATGGACACTAATTGAATTATTAATTGGGAATGACTCATATAAGCAACACAGTGACCTAGATTGCCCCCCTGAACATAAAAATCTTTCTAAAAACTATCCTGGCACAGGTGCTAAACTAAAAGATTGACTCTTGTCCATCTAAAAGAAAGGTTATCTGTCAGAGGAAGATTTTCTGGAAGGGGGTGACTATTTGCAAGGGAAATACACTTTTCCTTAAGACAAGGCAAGATGGATTGTCCTCTTTCTTAGTCATTTTGTCTCAACCAAAATTGGTCTACACTGGGCACAAATCTCACTAAGTACATCAATGTACAAGGATTAACTGAGGTATGGACCTTACACAAACCCTCTGTAAAGGCATGAATTTTTCTCATCTTGACACTTACATAGAAAAAGAGCCATAGATGGACTAATCAACATTTCTAAAAATAGTACGTAGGCTGAAAATAGGAATGCTGAATTATAATTACTGCAACTTAAATATCAGGTGAAATTTCACTCATTACCATGAAAATCTTTTTCCTTTGTTGTGCGTGCTTTCTTCTTTTTTAAACAGGATATTGATTGGATTTTGCCTGATTAAAAAACATTTTTTTAAAATTAGTACTCTATTTCTACTACTTAGAAGTGACTAGATGCTAGACATGCTTCTAGTGTCTTACAAATAAGCAAAAGATTTGCATCTGACTTCCACTACCGTGTAACATGTGGTCTGTACATATTTGAAAAGTGTGATCCTGTAGCAGAAAATACACACATCACAGAAGACTAGCGAGAGAGTGAAAGAATAACTTTCCAAAGGTTTTTTTATGAAAATTTTGCCTTTTAGTTAAAAGGGTATTTCAAATCATTTTTGCTTCTCATTAATTTATTAATTTCTTCCAACTGGTAAATCTTTTCTCTAAAACTCTAAAAATACCTGATGCAAATAAATGGAATCTTTTTCTTAAGAACATTAAGAAGCAGAAATTGAGTTTGCATCATTTCTCTTGAAAAGAACTTAACAGTCAGGAAATCAGAGTTCTCCTTAGTGTTTTGATACAATGGTATTGATGGTAATGGTATTGTCTTCACTATTCTGTCAAAGCTAATAAAGTGCATAAACACATTAAGTACACTCTCATGATATACTTACTTTAAGAAAATTGCAGAATAAAGTTCAAGTTTCATTAAATAAATAAACAAACAATTATCCATTACTTCAGTACAGTGATTACTGTCTTTGATTTTTAAAAGGTATTTCTTGTGGCTTGAAAAATCTTAAGACAGAGGACAAAACATAGGCTAAACGTATTTTATAATGTACTTACATATCACTGGCAATGGAGGAGTTCCTGGACATGGACTTTGGAGACAGGTCATAGTCGCTGTCTGACCGGTAAAGGAAAGACTCCCTGCGTTGACTGTGGACAAAATTTGCCTGAAGAATTAGCCCTGATCCAGGGCTCGTCATGGGATCCAAGGGACTTCGTCCCGATGATGTACCATTGTCTACATCGAAACTGCAAAAAGAAAGAAGAAAAATTTATGTCATTGACATAAGAATTTGAAAGTAGTAAACTCTTCTGACAAATTTATCACTACTTAATTGCTTTTTGATAATAACGGGGAAATAAAGACCTGGTCAAGTCCACTGTTAAGCCAAAAACCAAGGGCACACAAGAAATATACTTTAAAACTGCTGATAACCAAAAAGAACAAATCTTAAGGAAAATAAACTGGATAGATAAAATCCACTATTAGGAACACAGGAAATTATTACGATTCTCTGCATGTAGAGTATTCATGAGCTCTACCCCTGAGGAAACATGATGTTTCATTGTTTTCTTCCTTAGGTCCCGTATCTCCTGAGCTGCTGGACTGTCACTATCCTGTCTCCTACTGTTGAGGTAGCTGAGGGCTCTTTTGTTAATGAGTACCCAACCTTAATATTTTAACACTACCCAAATATTTCAAGAACACTATTTTTTTTCATCTTAATGAACAAAGCTCTGGTGTGGTATTAAGGTGTATATGTGTGCTTGGGCATGTTTGCATCCATTACAGTTGCTACTTTACAATCAGATTGAAGAAATAAGTTCTTTGCTTACTGCTAAGCAGTGTGACTTCAGTAGCTGTTTGTGTCTTTGAACCACACAGATTAGATCCAGCACTTCTAGCTTTTTTATTTGGTATTAAGAGTGGTAAACAGGCTTATCATTCCTAGGCAACACTGCCATCATGAGAGGCTGAGAGAAAAAGAGAGAAGATTCTCTTTCATACAGTCTGTGACGTTTCCACAAAGAGCTTGAAAATCAGTGCAAAGACCTTGAATGGGAGTCTGTAATCAATTAGAAACTAGTGTAGGGCAGGCAGTGGTGGGATGACATGCTTATGGCAACCTGTGCTGCTTAGCAGCCCAACAGCTACGTTTGTTGCCATATGGCGCCTTTTTGGAACATGTGGCTCTGTTTTTAGACTTAATGTATTGTGGTCTACAATCTCAGAGGTTACAAATGTGTGGATTAACAAGATTATGTCTCCATCTGATGAGATGGAGCAATTTTATCCAGTGAGAAGTGGAAGACGACTTTTGTTTCCCTATCTGGCTGTGTCTATAAAATCAAAAGATTGGCTTTTGTTTTACAACATGGTGGGCAAGGTGTGCATGGACCTTGGCTTATAACCACTTTACATTTACTATTTGCCATACTAATGGGAACTTAAATAATACTGCTACAGCATTTGGGAATAAGGGATGAACAGAAGATTAACATGATTTTTTTAAACATGGCTAAGTGTTAGCATCATAATATGTGTTTGTATTGAACCCATCTGAAGGACTAATTTTGAAATCAGTGTTCATGTGAAGGACATCTGCTGGTTCTCAATTATATCTAATGACACTGGAAGAGAAAATATTCAGTAAATATCAGCTGTTGATTAGACTTCAGCCTCGCACAGGTGTCACAGCAGGTACAAGCCACTCTCTGCACTAGCTTGTTTCTTGCCGTCATCTACCATTGATCTGAGGTTGCAGTGAGGTTGTCGCTTTAATGTTTTACTGAAGGCCATTCCCATGGCCTGTTTTTCTTTGTTAAATTAACTAATCAAAGAAACATATATTGCCTAGTTTGACAGAGACTCACATTGCCTGGCAGAGAATGGGCCTTAGTTTCATGTCTTATTTCGTTTCATTGTTACTTTGCATATATTCCTGGAACTGAAAGCTTTCTTTGGCTCTCAGTCTATATTATTTCTTTTATATTCACCTTTCACAGTTTGATGCAAGCAAAATATTTTGTTTTATTTTTAAAAAACTATTCAGAAAATGGTATTAAACTTCAAGAGAGCTTAGCAATTTAATCCTCTTTTCAGTTTAGTTTTCAGAACAATTCACTGTCAGTAAATCCTAATACATATACTTCTTCCCAAATTTCATTTCTTTTTATTATGCCTGAATACTTTTTCTGTGTCCTCAAATGTGCTTCTACTACATGACATTACTAATCTCAAAGCTAACGAAGCTTAATCTTAAAATATCAAATGAGAGCTCTGCCACCAGCCTGCTGGGGGATCTTGGACAACACAAAGCTCCTTTCTGCCTTTCATTTTCCCTATTCATTGATAAAAAAAAAAAAAAAAAAAAAAAAAAAAAAAATTAAAAACATATTGTAAAGGGCAAGATAGCATGAATACTACAATAAACCATATTTTGCAGATTATACTGCCATAAATTACTAACCATATTGGCATTAGTACTAGCATGACTGCTACTGTTCACTTGCAATCAATATCTTTTGAGTTTGAATTCCTGAGTATTCCAGGAGCAGAAAATACTCATGATACCAATGAAGTGTTTGGAACATCTATGAGCTCATAGTATCCATATTTCCTAACACTTCTATTCAATTGCCTAAATAAAATAATTTTTTCTTTAAACACCTGAAGGAACACATAGAATTCCAAACAATACACAGTCTATATGTTTTGTTTCTCTATTGAGGGCAGATCTTTCATGCAATTTAAAGTAAAATAGGATTGTTTATTCCTGTGCTCATTAAGACTAACTTGCAATGGCAGTATCATTTCAAATATATATAAACTTGCCTGAAAGCTCTAAAGCAAAAGTTAGAAGTGGGATAGAAATAAATGAAGGTTGATGTAAGTCCATCTCACAGCAGGAAAATTTTGCATAAGGAGTGACTATTAAATTGATTTATTTAACAGTGGACTTAATTATTCAACTGATTAAAAGGTATTTTATCGAATGAAAGGACCATGTGACTTTGTCTGAAAATTTGTTTTATTTTGTTCGCCCACCATTTGCAGACATGATATGAATATTTTATTACCAGTCTTATTTCTCCCAGTCAGAAACTAAGGCAGGGTTATGTGAATGATTTCACTGTCAGATTATAAAACAGTGATTTTTTAAAATTTAGAACTCTATTAGATAAAACTGCAGTTTCATCGGCTGGGAAATGCCCTGTGGTTTGCACCAGCAAGTACAAGTACGTGCAGGACTTACTTGCACATGGCTGTTGTCACAGAAATTTTATCCTGTGATACTGCGTAGTGTCCACTAGATGGGTGTCAAAAGTAACGAACGGGATCCAAATACCAGTTAGGATTTGGCTCATACTGCTCAACGAAAATGTCTTTTATGTAAATATACATAACCCCCCCACACCCGGTTCTACATTCCAAGGGTAAGGTGAATACGGCACTGGTTTTCCAGAAACATGTTTTTATTTAAAAGTTTCTAAAATGCTACAGCACTTAAGTGTCTTGTTTAGCTCTTACTATTTGCTAACACTTTCAGATACAAAAGCTTGTAATGCATCTAAATGAAAAATGCTTTATTACACCGAAAATCAAATAAATTGTTTCTCTGGCTGAATCACAAGTCTTATTTGCATGAGATGGCATAGCTGATCACACTGCATCAAATGAACAGAGAATCAGAATGGGGAATTGAAGACTTTGACAGAAGTTTGTCCTTTCTTGTTGCATACATTGAAAAAAAAATTAAAGTTTAAGATGCAAAATTGTATAGACTCTTCAATTTGCCTGGGCAGAAGCTGAAGAAAGTCAGCTGTGGCTGCTTCATATTTATCTTTCCACTCCTGTTAAATTTTAGGCCAGAGCAAGAATATGCTGTGAACCAAAAGTTATTCTGTCCCTAATGTGTTCCTCAACTTTCTTGCAGATTTGATGGAGGGTGGTCTTTGTAAAGGAAGAAGCAGCATGGAAGTTGCTATTGAAGGCACAGGAACTGCTTTGCTGTAGTTTCATTGGCAGAAAGCAGCCATTTAAAGACAGAATTTTCCACCGTTGTTCTTCATACAGCTTCAGGCACTTCACACAATGCATGCAAACTGAAGCTGCTTTTAGTGACAGGAGCATCTGGCGCAGCACACATCACAGGTTTTCTATGTTCAAAAAGCTTTGCTGTAACTCCAGAGATGCCAAAGCTATGAAAAGCCAGTGCTAATTCAGCAACTTTTGTGTCTGCATTTTGACAAAATGTTTTATGACATTAGTGGATACTGTTTATCCTTACAGACTGCCTTATTCAGTGTTCAGTGATGACAAACATAACATGTTCAGCCTTTTTTCCTTTTTTGGCTATCCATCGTGTTCAAACATCTTGCACAGTGTGTATCATTTAGTCTCTCTACCAAGATGGGGATAAAGGTGGTGAACTCTCTTGAGTGACTTCTAAGCATTAATGGCTGATCTTCCCCATGCTCCTAATAGGACAGGAAGTAATAACATCACAAGCAATCTTTACAAAGATTATTAATGATTTGCTTTGGGCAATAGCAGGAATCTTGGCAAGGACAGGAGAAGTTCTGAATCCTGGATCTCAGCAGCACTGCTTCATTGTTAAAGACTGCACAGTTTCTTTACACAGTGAAAGAAACCCTCAGTGCACTTCCTTTTGTGTCCTTAAATAATGCTCTTCTACTCTCTGCAAGGTCGCTAAAAGAAAAAATCTGTGAAAAAAATATAGCTTTTAGTTACATAAGGAATAATGGCATTGTAATGAATATGCATGAGAGCTTGTAATTAAGGCTGCATAGAAAATCTTAATGTTGGCCTTACTTATTACTGTTTAGCAATTTAATCCTGTAGTTTTTTGTTGGGGAATTTTGTTTTGGTTTGGTTTTTTTTAGAGAAGTAAGCAATAGTAGAAGAGGGAAGGAAATAAAATCCATCTCAAAATGAAGAATTTACAAGACTTTTTAAGAATACAAATTGCACTCCTGATATTCCCCTTTAAGTCTCTCCATCTTCAGCCTATCCTGTCTTGGAAACTATGGGAAGGGAGAGAGGTAGGATCCAAATGAATCAATCCTCTAGGGACACCTTATCTTTTAAGGCCATCTTTAAATATTACAGAGGGACAAACAAGTTCTGGAGGGGCAAATTTTTTCCCCCATCAAAGAGGCCCATTGTCCTAGTGTCAAGCAATCTCTCCAGCCATCTGTCTGTGCTGTGACCTACCTACGCATCT